TAATCATTACCAGAAATATGGGTGTAGAGTCATTATCAGAAATAGCGATGATTTTTTTTTTTAAATAACTGACAATGGCTCTTGATTTGACCCAGTATAATATTGGTACCAAGAAATGTCCTGTGAAGTACTTTCAGTCTGTCTGATGTTCACCTCATCACCAACTGGATGGGGAAACACAATTGCAGTGAAGTTGAAACCTCGACTAAGACTTAGAGTTAATGTTACGAAGTTCTCTCCATCTGGGTCTGGTCCGCCCATTTACACACTATGTCACTTTTGATTGGTACTTTGCTCAGACTCGTCAACTTTGCTCAAGGTTACAGGGGGGGGGGGGGGTGTACTGTTTACTCGAAAAGCTTTCTGTGTTGTCTTCCTTTTACATTTTCATTCCCAGAAAGAGAATCCATGTGACGAAGGTTGCAGCACTCTCGTAGGGGTGTTTGTGTTAGGGCCAGTTCTGCATGTTTTTTGGACTGTTAAAAGCACCAACTCCTGGAATATGCAAGATGCGATATCAACGGTTGGTGTAAAAAACGCAGAAAGCTTTTCGAGCACAAAGTACACCGGGACACCACCGGAACCTTCAGCAAAGTTTACGAGCTCAAAGAAGTATGAATGAAACATGACCTAGTGCGTAAAGGGGCAGAGCTGACCCAGATGGAGGGAACTCAGGAGAATTTACCACGACGAAGACTAGTGTTTCCTAAGCTTACCCTCTTTTCAGTAGGTGGGGGGGGGGGTGGGGTGGGGAATCACCAAACGCCCCTCTCTGCAAAGAAATATCACCATGTGCCATGCTCTAGGACCTACACGGTGAGCAGTCTTCATGTGCCATGCCCTACGACCTACACGATGAGCAGAATCTTGGCTCGTGTGGTGCTCTTGTACTGGCCCGTGCACGCGGCTAAGCCATCTGTGTATTTATCTCTTTGCCTTCCCCTGTCCACTTTCTATGAATTTTTCCAGTTGTCACCAAGTTCCAGGATATGTTCCTTACATAGAAATATACCTTTTTAAATAAAACAAACAGAATGATATAATGGTAATTTTGAGTTGTATCGTCTTTCTTTCCATGCAGTACAACATGCTCTGGTCTGTAATAGTTATTGTCTTCTCTCTAGTTCAACTTCATAGTTTGTTTTTAAGAGTCTTTGATGTATTAAAAAGCTCTGACACAGATGGGGCTACATGAGGTTTCCTGTAGTCTTCGTAAGCTTCTTTCCATTTCTAAGGATTGATAATAGGCTCTTTGCAGATGACCAGGCCTTGATAGCAGATACAGCCATGAAATTGCAACAACATCTAACATCCATGAATGAAGAATGTAAAACAAATAATATGAGAATCAACACTGAAAAGACAGAAGTAATGTCAATGGGAAAAAAGAAGACAGATCTAAACATAGCAATAGAGTGCAAAGGCATTAAACAGGCATCTGAGTTTAAATATCTGGGAACTACATTTACCGAAGATGGGAAATTGGATAAAGAAATTAACATTAGATGCAGTAAAGCAAACCAAGTATTGGGACAGCTAGCCCCCCTCTTACAGCATAAGACAATCCCAATCAGCACAAAGAGACATCTTATTCAAAGCATATTTATTCCAACTCTGTGCTACCAGTGCCAGACATGGTCACCCACAACAAACCATAAAAGAAAATTAGTAACCACGGAAATGGGATGTCTGAGAAGGGCTGTAGGAGTGACCATAAGAGATAAGATCAGGAATGAGATCATAAGAGAAAAAGTCGGCACAGAACCAATTCTGGATTACATACGAAGACAGCAAGTGAAATGGTTTGCCCACTTAGAGAGAATGCCTTGTGACACCATACCATACAAAGCATACATGGAAAGAGAAGAAGGACGTAGAGCACGAGGTAGACCAAGAACAAGATGGAAGGATAACATCAGAGAAACTCTTCAACAGCACGATGTGCCTATGGTCGAGGCGGCCAGAAGAGCTAGAAACAGAACCTTATATCTCCCTCGACACCCACAGCGGTAAAAGAAGAAGTGAAGAAGAAGAAGAAGATAATAGGCTAGAATTCACTGCTGGCCTAGTTCTGTTCTTGTGGACAACATTCTGAATCCCCCTTCCTCCCAATAGATTGTGCTGTCCTGTCTGGAGCATGAAATAACACAGTGGACTGATTTTGTCAATATGACAGCGCTATTTTTTTTTACAGGAAAGTGCAAATGAAGAACAAACAGATGTAACAGTCTCTTATCAACAGAAGAGGAGAAAAATCAAATCAATCAGAAGCCACCAAAACCAACTCAAGATTATCACAATATTTGACCGGAGTAAGTCATTATTCTACACCTTAGAACAGGAAACAATCGACTTGGATGCCACATGAACACACAATTTAAGATTGATGAATTAGCCATATACACATGTGAATCTGCACCTGAGACAACAGATCATGTCATCCAAGATTATCCCAAATACAACATATCCAAGCCATACTTTTGGCCATGAGAGAACATCGGTGCAAGCCAAACTTTATGGGTAGCTGAGTGAATTACAAAAGACAATCAAGTTCATATTTGAGAATATTGCTGAAAAATATAATCTCTTTCAAGCAAATGAAAGAAAAAGCATTAACAAATTAACAAAAATAAAGACCTCACCCCATAAATATTTGTAAGAGAAAATAAATTTATAAAAGTTGCTAAGTGTTTCCTTAACCTCACCTTATGTTTCATAAGTCGCCTTGTATTTTCTTAAACTCGCTTTATATTTGTTAATAGTCGGCTTGCATTTTAAAACAGTGGCAGTGTGTCCGACTGGTCAGGGACAGCTAGTAACAGACGTGTTATATACATTTATTGGTTTAGGGTGTCCCAAAAGAGAAAGATAGAGTCACTTAAAGTGTTCCAGGAATAGTAGCTGACCTTGCCAGGAATCGTTAGTAAACGATTTACCAAGATCAGTGAGCAATTTGAGAAGTGTCTTGAATGACTTAAGGTGTCCCAAACGAGAAAGATATCGAGCCAGTTAATGTTTACCAAGACATTGAACACTTAACGAAAGATAGCCCACTTCAAGGTATCCAGAGGATACGGTTTGAGTTTCTAAGAAACTTCATTGAACGACTCACGAAAACCAGTGAGAAGTACCCTGAGCGACTTACCAAAGAACTTAGGCAAATACTTACAAAGACCAGTGACTAAGTTGTTAGGTACAGTATACGACTTATGTTTTCTCTTAGCCCATAAACCCTTTCTCTAACTAGTCGACACGTTGTCATACTTTTTTCATTTTTAGTCTATATAAGGACATAGCACCATATTCCTAAGAGTTCCTGATGATCCATGCCCCCTACGACATGTTTGTAGATGACTGCCTAGTTGTATACTATCATAATCACAGCTCATCAGCTAATAATCGACCCCACAACAGACCTCGGAGAGACATGGTCGCCCCATCGCCAATCAGCATGGCACTTGATACTGGTGATGCCGTTTGACCACCCAAAAATACTCGATCTACCAGCTGACACCTGCCCCTTATAAATACTTTACTACATAACATATATACTTTCTATCTCCCTCAAAGAAGCCAATCAATACCGCTGGCTACCTCTGATCTACTATATAACTTTTATAACTCTAACGTCCTATCGCTCTTTTGTATCACTTTTATACATTTCTACTATGTAACATATATATTTTCTATCCATTGCCGCAAAGCCAGTACCCCCTGTTTTCTTTTTGTTTATTCTGCTATGTAACCTCTAAATCGGTCCTCGTACAGTCCGCCCCTGCTTCGGAGTCGCCTCTAAAACCCTTAGATCCTCTGGTTCGCTTGCCTCGCCGTTCACGGACACATAGCCACAACCAACCCCCCCCCCCCCCCCCGACCAGTAGCTGATCCGAGCCGCGAGGTGACCTCAAACCACACGAGTGACAATTGACTCCGAGTCACGTATCCGGAGCCTCAACCGAGCCACCAGGTGACCTACATCGGGAGGGCAAATTGTTTTTCCCCCTTTTTTTGGGTGGAGGGCAAATAACTAAGGTTATATAACGAGCCACTTTCTCATTTACGGTGCGTAAAACTCCCCTCTTCTACTACCTGGCCCTTTAAGGATGCGAATAAAACAGGTACAAATCCAGGAAACCCTATTCATTCGCATGACCCGGTTATAATAGGGCACCAGGCACTTAAGTCAGCACCCCGCAGTTAATTGTGCCTCACCTATAGTGGGTGACAAGACTCTCGTGCCTGGCCGTGTCGTTCTCTAATCCAAGTTCTTGAATTCTTAGCAACGACGTGGACGTGCTGTCCCGAAAATCCGCCATTGTCCCTGTCTCTAAAAGCATTAACAATACACGATCCACAGAGCTATAGTTCGGCCTTCTGCTGCTATTTCAGTGTCATCACAGTCTGTCTGCTCTTTCTTTGCCAACAACATCCTTTCATCCTCCAAAAACTGTGGACTTTAGCATATCTCAATCTACTGTTTATCTATGGAACTGGTTTAACATCACACCGACCGCCTTTACCTCCTAGGACTTTGCCTAGTATGCATTTAAAGCCAGGAGCCGAAGTCATTTTTTGAAAGAAAAAAAAATCTTTCTCCGAAAGTACCTGAACTCACGACCTTCGGATCCGTAGGCGAGCATCTAGTTCCTACGCAACGGTGGGCAAGCGAGGTATTCCGGACTGACCAGAAAATAGCAAAACCCTCTTAAAATGTATATATTAACCTTAACTACATTTTTGCTAATAAATAATTTTAAGATAATGAGTTTTGTACCTTTTTAAAAATATTTTTTTTTAAATATTCTAAAATTATTTCCATAAAGACAAAAAACATTTAGACCAATGGTTTTTTAGCATTTCATTATCCCCTGAATTACAATGTTTGGCAGTATGGAGGAATGTAGTGTAAACAGTCGGTGTAGAAACCGCAAGCACCCACTTTTCCTTTAGATTTCCCCTTAACTAAAATTATTTCCATTGTTTAGTGAAAATTAGTAACTATGGTGAAACAGACTATACAAATTTTTGCTAGGATAAAACCCACTAAGCAAACAAAAACAGGGGTAAGTTTGAGTTTGCGTTGTCAACGAGTCAACAACGACCGACTGTTAACTTAATGGCCCATATGATGTTATTCTTACTTTGTGTATTATAGTAAAAGTAGAAAGCAAATGCCTCCTTTTTACGCCAATGGCGTATCTGGAATATTATGCTAGAGGCTAGACTCACATTTTCTTAGACCTGTCGGCACTTGGCGGTTAATGTGATCAAACTCATCTCATGGTGTTGGCCGTTCTTAATCTTACTTCCCATGTACTCTGGTCACTACGACATGGTAGTGATATACTGTTTGCTGGCTGTCATTACTTCCCATGTACTCTGGTCACTACGACATGATAGTGATACTGTTTGCTGGCCGTCCTTACTTCCCTTGTACTCTGGTCACTACAACGTGATAGTGATACTGTTTGCTAACCGTCCTTACTTCCCATGTACTCTGGTCACTACGACATGGTAGTGATACTGTTTACTGGCCATCCTTACTTCCCATGTACTCTGGTCACTACGCCATGATAGTGATACTGTTTGCTGGCCGTCCTTACTTCCCATATACTCTGGTCACTACGACATGGTAATGATACTGTTTGGTGGCCGTCCTTACTTCCCATGTACTCTGGTCACTACGACATGGTAGTGATACTGTTTGCTGGCCGTCCTTACTTCCCATGTACTCTGGTCACCACAACATGGTAGTGATATACTGTTTGGTGGCCGTCCTTCCTTCCCATGTACTCTGGTCACTACGACATGGTAGTGATATACTGTTTGGTGGCCGTCCTTACTTCCCATGTGCTCTGGTCACTACGACATGGTAGTGATACTGTTTGCTGGCCGTCCTTACTTCCCATGTACTCTGGTCACTATGACATGGTTGTGATATACTGTTTGGTGGCCGTCATTACTTCCCATGAACTCTGGTCACTATGACATGGTAGTGATACTGTCTGGTAGACTTGGGAGCCAAAGTCAGGTTTATAAAATCTCCACACACATACGAACTCAAGACATTTAAGCTGACAGGCAAGCATTTGTAGTTTTGAATAGACTCTAGAGCTTTAATGATTTAGTAATATGTCTTATTTTATTATTAATATTTTGTGTATATTTAATAACCATTAAAATTTAATTAAACTGTCTGAACTACTAAAGTAACAGTTTACAAATATAAATATAATTTTAACTCTTTGAGTCCCAGAGCGTTTAGCATCATAGCTCAAGGGATAGTCAAAAGAGACATACAATTGGCGCATCATTGGTTCATTGGGCTTCTAGAAAGGAACCTGTGAACGTATGATGCGTTCTTTGGGATTCAAAGAGTTAATTGCTTTCAGTATACCTTAACATTTATTATTATTTTACGCCAGTTCAAGCATGACTGAAACTGTTTGTAAAGATAATTTTTATATTCCAATCTTCTTGAGAATAATGGATTCACTAATATTATTTATATCTTGAAAACTATACAGCTAAGAGAATTATTCAGAAACAAATCATGTGTTTTGAGGATGAAGATTAATAAGCAATTGAAACTGTTAACAGGATAGACTCATTATTTGCTAAGCATTACTGCACTCAATTGCTGGCTCAGTAGTTTAGGGTTCAAATCCTCATCGAGGCCAATTTTTTTCTTTTTTAATTACCTTGGCACCCAGTTTGACCCAGCCTAAAATGGGTACCAGGTAATGATTGTCCTTGGAAGTAAATAGTTGGCAGGATGTTGACCACATCACTCATTGAGTCTAAAAAATAGGGGGCTAACGCCATGTGCCACTGGCAAAAAAAGGGTCCTTACTTCTTATAAACTATTACTGCAGTTTGAATCATTATCCCATACATAAACAATGACTTCTAGAATTTTCAGATAGCTAATAACTTAAAAGAATGTGTATTTAGCCGATATCATTATTTCTGTGATATGATGGTAGGTTTTGTTACAGATCATTTGCAGTAAAGCTTTTATTGTCACAGTCATTGTTCTGCTTCGCAGTTACATACTTGGTGCATAATTTTATATTTCAAATAAGATTTTAAGCATGTTTCTTTGTTTGTTTGTTTATTCGTATCAACATCATGACACACAGGTGTAACCCATAAGTGCTCCCTTCTTCTTATAACTCAAGCATGAGTCCAAAGAATCTTAGCACAGTGCACAAACTCCGCTGTGCAGGCGAGGATCCTGAACTATTTTGGGTAGATTTTTAACTTCAAATTTTGCCTGGGCAGCGTCATTAGGCTACTCTTTTCAATTTCAAAGTGCCAAAGAATTTTTTGCATGCGTAAGAATACACACAGGCATCTGGTCTTACTACCCAGAGACCTGGGTGAAATTACTAGAAGTCCACATGAAAGAATTACATTTCTCACCGGGGCCTGAACCCAGGACCTCCAGCACTTGAGGCAGATATTTTAAGCAGATACTGTGGACAACAGTTTGTCAGTTTCATTTCTGTCAATAAAGATTTGTAATTTGTCATTGGATGAGTCGTTCTGTGGTAAGTATAAAACATCTGTTTGGTAAAGTACTATACCTTCCAACTGCTGTGTAACACATCAGTATGGTAGAGTAGTAACACATCTGTGTGGTAGAAGACTATACCCTCCAACTGTTGTGTAAAACATCAGTGTGTAGAGTACTTTACCCTCCAGCTGTTATGTAACTCATTAGTACGGTAGAGTAGTAATACATATGTGTAGTAGAGGACTATACCATCCAATTGTGTAACAAATCAGTGTGGTAGAGGACTATACCCTCAAAATATTGTATAACACATCAGTATGTAGAGTACTATACACTCCAAATGTGTAACACATCAGTGTGATAGAGTACTATACCCTCCATATGATGTGTTTATTATTAAACAAGGTGTGTATGATATGTATGTTTGTGCGCGCGCGTGTGCTTGATATGTATGTATGTGTAGGCGTGTTTGTATACATATGACTCTGAGTATGTTGTTTGTCTGCTTGTGAATCTGCGTGTGTGTCTGCGAATGTATGCGTCTGTGTCCTTGTGTATGTGCAAATGTGTGTGTGTTCGCGCGTATGTCCACGTGTATGTTTCAGTGTGAACTGGTTTCTGTGTGTTTAAGTGTGCCTCTTTGCTGTGTATGTGTGTCTGCATGTGTGTGTGTGCGATTGGATACATGTAGCTGTGAATATGTGTCTGTGTGTGTGTCTCTGTGTTTGTCTGCATGTGTGTGTGTCTCGGTGTTTTTCTGCATATTTGATGTGACTGTGTGTATATCTTCGTTTGTGTCTGTGTGTGTCCCCATATGTGTTTGTCTTCATGTTTGCCTGTGTATGTTTATGTGTTTTGTCTACGGGTGTGTCTATGAGGCTGTATGTATGTATCTCTGTGTGTGGGTGTCTGTATGTCTGTCTGCGTGAGTGTATGTGTCAGCATGTGTCTGTATGTCTGTGCATGTCTATGTGTGTTTCTCTGTGTGTGTTGTGTGTGCCCCTTTGTTGTCTGTATGTGTCTGCATGTCAGAGTACATGTCTGTGCGTGCTGAATATATGTGTCTGCGTGTGTATTTCTATGTGTTTGTATGTGTATGCATTTCTGCGTGTTTGTCTCTGTGGGTGTCAGTATGTGTTTGTCTGCCTGTTTGTCTGTATTTGTGTGTGTGTGTGTTTGACTGCGTGTGTGTCTATGTGGCTGTATGTATGTGTCTGCGTATGTGTGGTGTGTGTGTCAGTGTGTGAGCACGAATGTAAATATGTGTGCTGTGTGTTTCCCTGTGTGTGTTTATATGTAAGTGTCTGTGTGTGTGTCTGTATTTTTGTCTGAGTGTGTGTGTCTCTGTGGGAGTGTCCGTGTGTGCATGTGTGTGTCTCCATGCATGACTGTATTTATGACTGTATGTGTGTATGCCTGTATTACGTATGTATGTATGAATGTATGCCTGTATGTTTGTATCTATGTATGTATGTATGTTTGTGTGTACGTATGCCTGTGTGTATGCATGTTTGTATGTATGTGTGTATGTATGTGTGTATGTAATGTATGCATGCATGTTTGTGTGTGTAAGTGATTGGGTGAGCGTGTGTATGTGGGTGTATGTATGCACGCGCAGGTTTTTGCATGCACTTTACAACTCATGATTTTGTGTTCTTTTATAATATTCATAATATGCATAACATCATATGATCATAACATGCTTTATTAATAAAACACAACTGCTGTGCGAAAGATGGTTGACTGGAAGGGCCGAATGTAAGACGGGCCTGCGTGCCCAATTTGTGACCCTTTGAAAATAAAGTTCGTTCGTTCGTTCGTTCGTGTTACACATGTGTGTGATAGATTACTATACCCTCTAAATCTTGTGTTACACATGTGTGGTAGTACAGTAGCAGAACTACTCTCCTACTGTAGGAGTCATTATTTTGTCAACAAGACAGAAGAAAAATCAGTAGAATCATCCTTGTTAAAAATCATCTTCTTAAGTATAATATTTATGTGTATTTCAGTTGTATGAAATAGATGATGATGATGAAGGTTGCCCACGCTTACAGCTGATTGTGCCACGAGAGTTAGCTGCAGGTTTCATTAATAACAAAAAGGAAAACTACTCATTTAGGTAATATCTCTTGTATGCTCTGGTCCTTGTCATCTTTATTAATGTCTTCCTCATACAGCTTTCCATGTGCTCTAGATCCTTGTCATCTAATTTTTTTCTCCCACATACAACCTACATATGCTATTGATCCTTGTAATCTGTATTATTATCTCCAACCTTCAACCTGATGTATGCTGTTGTTCCTTCTGATGTCTATTATTTTCTCCCACACAGACAACCTGACGTATGCGGTTGATCCTTGTAATTTGTATTATTATGCTCTTTATCCTTGTAGTCTCCGTTATTTTCTCCCACATACAAACTGACATATGCTGGTAACCCTTGTAATCTGTATGATTTCATCCCACATACATTCTACCATATGCTCTTGATCCTGGTGATCTTTATTATTTTTAGTTTCTCCCATATACAACCTGCCATTTGGTCTTGATTCTTATAATCTACTAATTTCTAACTTGAACTGTCAGTACACAGTTAATAAATTAACAACATTTACAGCCCTAAAGGCACATTTTTGCCAGTGTGTTCCCAGGGTACATAAGGGAAGCAAAGATTAGTAACACTGTAAGCACTTCTAAATTTGTGGGGGGTAAAATAATAAATAAACTGTTTCCTAATAAGCTTGTAGTAAAAGGTGACTAGTGATTGTACTGAAATGGGATGTGTGGGGCCGAAAGGCACATATATTGCAGCCTAGCTACAAACCACACCACAGTGTGTTACCAACTTCCCTTTTAAGAGTGAACACACAAGACAAAATATTGGGTTCACAAAGAATTGTGAGCAACCATGCTTATCATATAAGGTAACTAAGAGGGTTGACTACCTCATCACATAAAACTATATCCTATGAGAAGATGTTCTTCTATATAAAAGAATACATGTGATATAGGAGTAAAGCAAGATTGGTATCACCAAACCGCAATACAGAAGATAGGTTCTTTGCTAAAAAAAATTTAAAAATTGTCATGTTCAGCCAGCATCCCCAGAGGGGGAGCTTTAGGTTATAATTGTGACTGGGTTATGTGCACCATATAAAATGGCTTGGCATAGCCTGCCACCAAAAGCTCTACTGCAGTGTTAATGCAATCAGAGGAGACAGACCCAAATACTGTCCCGACCGGCGATGAAGTGGTGAACCAGTGGGCGACCCAGTCACTGGATGAGTCACAATACTGTAAGTTTGTGAGTATAAAAAGACCTTTGGCAGGCTGAAAAACTAATGAGATTGTATAGGATCACACAAATGATCATTAACTGAATACAAGCAGCATATGAGAGAATGAACTGAGAGTTTTTTAAGGTAAGCTCTTGGATATGTTTGAAATAAGAGCAGGGATGGGGTATTGATCCTCTATTGAAATGACTGTAAACCTGGCAACCTGTAAACCTCTCTGTAATAACCTATTTTCACCTTGCTAAGAAAATATGGACTGATTACTTAGCATAAATTATGTCAGATTACTGATCATTAGCTATGTGCAACAGTTGGGTGGGCTAGAGTCACAGTAGACAAGATAAACTTGAGGGATGCTTGCGCCGAATATTTTCATGTAAATATTGGGATGCATAAACAAATACTCATGATTCCGCGGGGTAATATAAGAGGATAACAATACAGAGCGGGCAAGAAAGAAAAGTTCTGTTTGAAGTAATGTCATATGATGCTGAGAGAAGCAACTAACCTGTGTTGAAGAGTAGATCCATGAATGTCTGTTCTGCGGCCGACAAGTGTGAACAGTTTGGCTATGTCTTATCATCTGCAAATGGCCTAGTGTTTGTGATGATTTGCGTTGTGACTGCATGTTTTGAGCAGCATGTTGATGCCTGAATGAAGGAGTCAATCGTGAAGGTATCTCTGACTGAGTTCTCAAAGAAGTAAGTTTGATAGACTATAGGTATTTGGCGTGAACAACACCCTAGACAATAGTTAACTCAGTGACACCTAGCCAGGAGGGAAACAGTCGATCAGTTGTTTTGTGTAGTCGACATTTTTGCTCACTTTGGAGTTCAGTATTTCCTTGCCTGGGTGCACTGAGAGGTTCTGTCAGCACAGAGCCTGTAAAGTGGTGCATTACACTTATGAAAACAAAATTAACAACCTCCAGAAATAGAACTCATTAGATTCTGACAGCAGTTTGATGATCAGGACGTCAGTTATGATGTTGTTTTCCTATCTCACACACAAGTTGAGATACCAGATAAAGTAAACACAACCATGGAAACATAAAAAAAAAACTTAAAAAAATCAGTTGTCATTTATATTTTATTTCACTGTTAATGCACAATGTTTTTCTTTGTTGTTGCAGATTTAATAAAATTTTTGATCAGAAGACCTTGCAAGATGAAGTTTTCGCCTGTGTGGCTCAACCAGTCATAGACAAGTGAGTTCAGATAACTGACATTGTCACCATCATTGACCATCTTGATTCATCGTACATAACCTGCTTTTCATAATGGGGCCCCATAACCCACAGGGGAAGGTATCTGCTGTGATACTCACCACATCATCCATCCACTGTTGTTTGGTCAAGACAACATATCCCCAAAATTTTTCAGTGGTATGCCATTTTTTAACCCAACTGTTTGTCTTTTTATAATTTTCAACTAACATGGTAGCTTATCTCACTGACTTGCCAGTAAAGCAGCCTGTGTTTAGTCCCACCTCATGAGGAAGTGTTATTTCCTGGGTCAGCACATCCCCATAAAATATGTACTAAAGAAATGCCACTTTTCTTGTTGTCTCATTGATTTGGCCATGAATGCCCTGAACACAGAGCCCCAACTTTCCAGTCCCAAGTATGTTTTCTGTTTTTGTAACTTATGTTAAGATTGTTCACCCCCTGAACTCATTTCTTTTTCCTGAGATCGCTTGTGCCACTCATTTGCTCACAAGTAAGTGTCAGATGTGCTAATGTGTTATCTTAAGAGTAAAAGGTACTTATAGTTGTTTAAATCATCACTGTAAAGCAAGTTACTTTGTCCTGTCAAACCTGTGGCTTTATCATCTGGTTGGCTTTCCCTAGCTTTTGTCCCTAGTTTGCACACAAGACAGAATGCCTTTGTCTGGCTTTGTATGGTCCCTCTACCTTGGCCTGCCTGAGACGGAAGACTGCATCAGTAGCTAAGTTGTTATTATCATGCCTTTGGGGTTCCTTTGTTTTCAGAAGCACCCTTACCACACCAGAGTGGAGACATGTTAGGGGTTGTTAAAAAATTATAATTTTTATGCTAACAGTGAAACTTTAAACTTTAACTGTGTCTCTGTTTTGTTTGCTTCTTTTCAGCGCACTTCAAGGTTTTAATGGGACCATATTCGCTTATGGCCAGGTACTGTAGAATTTGTAATTAACTTGTTTTGTTTTTTGTTTTTACAAATTGACTTTCTTCTGTCTTTTTCCTTTTATAAAGAGAATTGGTTGTTTTGTATCTGTGCACAGTTGAATTTTAATATTTCACCACTGAGCTGATATATGCGACTTGATCATGCCATTGTGTCTTTGTGTTTGCTTTCTCTCTTCAACATCAGCATCATGGAGCAGACAGATCCTTTTCAGAATATTACAATTACCCTAACTCATGTATTTTTATACCCACAGTGTCTTTAATGTCCCGTGACCATGTTAGAGATTGTTGACCTCTGTCTTTTCTTATAGTCTCAGTATTTTATTCTTCCTTGGTACTCAGATAATTTTCTGTTACTGCTAACTTAAAAAACTCTAATTTGCATCTTTCACATATCATCCAATGCTTGATAGGGACAATGAATCGACTCAACTGTATCATTTGCTGCGAAATATTCAAAGGCACTTCATAGTAACCATAAATTGACTAAACAGTATAATGTGTGGCCAAAATATCTAAAGGCACCTTGACTGGTAATGACTATATTGATTTTCTGTAAATAATTTTAGTTTCCAGATAAAAGTGGCTGTATGGACCTCCCCACATGGGTACTGGCAGTGTGGGTACCAGGGCCCTATTTTGGGGAGAAAAAATATAACCACTGTCTCCTTAACAAATATGTTGAAAAAACAAAAGGCGACTAATTAGAAGTTTGCTAAACTCAGATGTGTTGAGGGGAAAGGCACAGATATCACAGCCCAGCTGTAAACTGCAACACAACATGCCAACCATCCTTGTAAAGACAAAAACAGATTAAGAAGCTATATAGATTCACGTTTTTCACTTTCTGTTGACTCCTTGATTAATGATAAAAACATGGACTGTATTTGAAGAATATGTTCTTGTATTTTATTGGCCAGACTGGCAGTGGAAAAACATTCACCATCACCGGAGGTCCAGAAAGATATTCCGACAGGGGCATTATTCCCAGATCTTTGTCTTACATTTTTGATACAGTTGAAAAGGTAAATTGCATTTTTAGATTGTATTTATGTGTTCTAGAGTGCATAGTTGCATATTTATAATTGTTGTGTTAGTGGTAAAGATTTCACATAAGTCGACCATGGTTTTCTAAAGTAAACAGCTCACTCTCTCACAGTTCTTTGTGTGTGTGTTTTTTCACAGTGGTTAGAAAAAAAGGTGGAAGGGGGGGGGGGGGGGGGTGTCAGGTTCTTCATTTGGTATACCAGAGTAATTTCATTACTTGATTACCAACAAATAACAAGAGCCGTATTTCATAACTTGATTATCTCAAAGGACAAGAGCCAAATTTCATAACTTGATTACCAACAAATGACAAGGGCCATATTTCATAACTTGATTATCTCAAATGACAAGAGCCGTATTTCATAACTTGATTACCAACAAATGACAAGAGCCGTATTTCATAACTTGATTATCTTAAATGATGAGAGCCACATATATCTCCTAGCTGGTTGGTTATCAAGATTTGATTCTGTGCATTCATTCAGTTGAAGCTTTCATAAATTGAAATATTCAAATATTAAAAGGAAATTTAAAAAAATCAACATAAAATAACTGCTAACATACTTGTGCACTTAACGGTAAAGTTACAAGAGAAGATATGTTTAATACAATAGCTGCTGGCACGTTTAAGGTGTACTGGGACAGATAAAACATTTTGTGAGTAGAAGGCTAATGTTATTATTGGTATGTTTGTATAAGCATGTTGGTTTGACTTTTGTTTGTCATATTGTCATTGATCACAGTATTGTTAATGTTGAACTCTTTCTATATCAATCAACTCACCGCATATATATTCATCTCTTCATACAAATATGATATACTTTTCTGAACTTCTTCTGTCCTGTCTCCTCATTACACTGACACACTCTATCGCAGTCATTATGGTCTATAGTCTGGGCCCCAACATCCTGCTTACATAAATGGATGTTGCTGCACAAGCCTTTTCTCCATGGTGCAGTAATAGATACAGAAGCTTCTGTTGTATTCTTGATAGTGAGCTAATAGCACATATCCATCATGTACATTTGCCTCATAGCAACACTGTTTTCATGGCAACAATGTTCTTACTGATTTTTAAATAGTATGTCCAAGTGCCTGGCAGTCAGGGCCGTGCTATGATACAGAGATGCGGCCGCATCAGACGGTACCGTAAGGGGCGCTATTTGAAAGAAAAAACATTTAAGCATCATATTTAGAAAATTGACAGCACAGACTTGCTGGCAGTATATCTGGGTTGGGAAAGTTTGAGGCTCCCTAAGGTGAGGATGCTGTGGCCTGAACCAAATAAAACCTTACATAAGGGTTGAATGTTTCTTATTTGTTCTTGTCACTCAAATACATCCTTTTCTGGTCTATTCCTGATGATACCCAGTTGGTCTCTGTAAAGCATTATAAAAGTCAATCTCCAAACCTCAGAGAAATCATGGCCTTGCCGAATGTCCCTGTTGTTGCAAGGACCTGACATTGCACTTCAGCTGAAACTTGTCCAGTTTTTTTGACTAGTGGATTGATGGTGGAACCTGTTGAAAATGGAGAGTTGCCATGCTGGGAGATTTATGAAGGCGTAGAATGCAGCATGGAACATATTCACAGTGAAACTTGACAAATAAATGAAAAATAAGACCTGTAACCAACAAAGAATGCATATGTGTTAACACCCCCCCCCCCACCCCCCGCCCCACCCCCAAATTTCTAATCACAAATGATTCTCTTCAGGACCAAAGAAAGGAGTGACCAAACAACCACCTGGAGATCACAGAGAAAGACAGTTTTCATTGAGCCCTTTGAGATAAAGATGCTTACAACAGTAACCTGATATCTCAAAATAACATCACTGCCAATCTTTAGTTCAACCCTTTCTGTCCTCTGCTGGAATTATTTTAACTTCTTTATAACCAGATATTTATTACTTTAATTACTTATTTCAAATTCTTGGAGAAAATATGTCCTGTGAAATTCTATGAAACCTACAATTATTTTCATGTGAAGCTACAAAGTCTTTTTATTTAAAGGTGTAGCACCATTGCCCAATGTACCAGTCATCTAAAAAGCACCCTTTAATACCTATCAACTTTGTGTTGTTTCATAAATCTTTCTGGTCTTAAAAGGGCTAACAACTACTGTTGATGTAATGGGTTAAAATAAAGTAATAACCACTTGGAACGGAAGAAATATACTTTTTTTTTTAAAGCTGTCACGAGATTTCTGTTATTGTATTTTTTGTAATATTGTGTTTTGCTTGTTTTGCACCAATCAGCAGCCAGATAAAGTGTACACTGTTCACATTTCTTACTTGGAGATTTACAATGAAAATGGTTATGATTTACTTGACCCCAAACATGAAGCAGCAAAGTTGGAGGAATTACCGTAAGTACAAAATGCTCCCTGGATCATTCAGAAATTAGTTTTAAAATCATGTAAAATGTATTTTGAATTAGAGGTGTTCTTTAACTCTGTCACCCTGAGAAAGCTGTTTGTGTGGCATTTACTGTGTTTTGATGACATGAAGTTTTTGGTCAGTAGTTACTACACTTATTCAACAACTTTAGTGCTGGTTGTGTCTGCATAGTGTGTTGACATCATTGTGGGTATGATTATATTTATCCAAAACAATTAAATATTATTTGGGGTGAAGAAAAATCCAGTTTTTTTTTAAATTGTGACATCAGCATTACCTCATAATATTCTCATTATGGCATCATTTTGCGCCATATGGCTAGGTCCCAAAACCATGTTTATGATGGTCAAAGGAAAGGAAAGCAGTTAATTCTTTGTTTTGTTTGTATATTACTGAGTAATTCCTTACCTTAAATTATTATTTCCCTTATAAATGTTTATAAAGAAAATGAAAGTGATTTATTTTTTTTTGACTTTGGGGCCACATTGATGCAACAGCTAGCAGGCTTACCTGTCTGCTAAGAGTCATAGGTTTCAACCCTCTTGGTTTAAAAAAAATAAAAACTGACAAAACTTCAGATTTCATATGCTTCTTCTTCTACTTTCTGATGGTTAAGTTTGAGAGAATTATAATGATGTGGTTCTTGGCAACACAATTTTGAAAAAGGTCATTTCTGAAAATTCTTACAGGGTAAAAGGGTTTTAATTCACTTCAAACAGGTTCCGTCTCAACAGTGAAAGTTGACAGCAATGAAATTATAACTCTCTGTCTTCGGCTGATTCATATTTTGAAATTAGCCCTCTACTTGTATCACTGTCTACCTCTTTGCTGGCCTGCTTTCACATATTTACTCCATTATGGATTTTATAAGTTATGCATTTTAATGTGGCGGGAATATTTCAAGTCTCTTTTATTTCTTTAAATGAGTGTTTGTAATTCCCAGTCTCTCAAGACACTTCTTTTTTGTTTGTTCAGTTTTTTTTCCTATGAAATAGGACCTGTTCTTCTGTGAATCCACATCTTCAGGCTCACAGTTTGACTTTCTAATGCCTTGTTCATTGCCAAGGTTTATGCACTGTAAAGTGTGATTGTGTATACTAAAACTGGCTATAAGTTTCTATGCAAATTGCCTGTGAAATAACATTTTAGTTTTTCTGTCATGTTTGTGACCCACTGAATTTTCACAATAAGTTTGTTACCTAGCTTTTGACTGTTTGGACTTAGGATAGTCTGCATACAATACTGTAAGTTGGTGTGTCTCTGTTAGATTGATTCCAGCTTTTAGTTATTAAGCTAACCAGACCCTGACTAGCTACACTTATTCTGGTGCAACTGTTGTCATTCAGGCTTTTAAAATAATTCATTACAGATGACTGCAGTTGAGCTTATACCAAAAAACAAAACAAATACAATATCAAATATGACCATAAAACTCAGTGAATGGAAAGAAAAAAATACACAGTATGTATATACACTCATATATTTGAGACACACTTGACTGGTTCTGAGTTGATGTTATATTGTGTATAAAAACATTAAGTGTCTTTCTGGGTACAAAAAAGGGGGAATTTGTCCATCTGTACTATACAACAATAAATTAAATTTTGTCAACATTGTGAGAGTCATTTACTAATCATGCCATGTTTATAACAACGGATATTTGTCTGATAGGAAAGTGTGTCTCATGGAGGATGCAGATCAGAACATTCACTTGAAGAACTTAACCGTCCATCAAGCTGGCTCAGAGGAGGATGCTTTAAATCTCTTGTTTATGGGAGACACCAACAGAATGATTGCAGAGGTAGGCTTATACTGAATCTTGCTTTTGGTTTAGTTGTTTCTAGGATATGAGTGATTGCAGAGGTAGGGTTAAACTAAATCTTGCTTTTGGTTTAGTTGTTTCCAGGATGTGAGTGATTGCAGAGGTAGGGTTAAACTAAATCTTGCTTTTGGTTTAGTTGTTTCCAGGATGTGAGTGATTGCAGAGGTAGGGTTAAACTAAATCTTGCTTTTGGTTTAGTTGTTTCCAGGATGTGAGTGATTGCACTCATTGTGTGGGACATCCTAACACTTGCTGATAGTGCTTGTGACAAAAGTCAGTCAGTTAGTCAGTAGCATGTCTTTTGCAGAACCTTGTTCCTATAACAATCTTCTGGAAAACTTCTCACTCACAAGTAAGTTGTCTTGCGTCCGATTCACCCAGCTGGAGATCATCCGCCACATCCTGCACCAATCTTCTCATTGGCCTTCCTCTTCCTCTCTTCCCAGGCATATATATCCCTCCATTATTGTTCTCTCTAAACTTTTGTGATGTTTCAAGTGACCAGAATATTTCAGTTTTCTGTGTTTCATTATCTTTAATAGCCAACCTTCTTCAATATTCCGTTCTTGAAGTATGGATGCATTTGTTCTTTTCTTTAAAAAGACAAAAGTAGACTTATCCTTTCCCCTGCACACTGATTGTTGTCAAAACCTTGTTTTTGCTTGCTGCTGAATCAGTCTCACAAAGTAAGGATACTCTTTCTGTTCTGATGCATTTTTCACAAGATCCTAGAGAGGCTTGACCATATTTGCCTTATCGTAATATAGTTTACTGCCCAGAAGATTGGCAACAGGCAGTCTTCAAGCGTTCTCATTGCCTGCATGTCCCTCGCTGGAAAATCCATTATATTTCTTATGAAGGGATTCAAGTTCCTCTGTGTAGGGCAGCTGTTTCCAAGTCCTTAAATTACATCATGTTATGTTGTACATTGGAAAACTGCTATTATATAAATTGGTATGACTGAATCAGAGGCATGTAAACAGTGTCATAGCCTATGTATTTTGTACGTAGAAAAACTTGGATAAATACAGATATTGTCTTCAGAACAAAACTATTAAAACAGTTTTGATGTGAAGACAGAGTGGATGGTTGAAGATATTGAGACATAGGTTTCTATTCGGCACACAAACAGTTTTTGTCTGTTCAGGTTTTAATATTTTGGATGTTTGTAGTTACATTCTTACTCATTGGTCCTGAAGAGTATATAGATTGCTTTGTCTGTTTTACAGTAAAGCAATTGATACTGCTGAGATGTCTGACTTCCTAATTTTTGAAATCAGGTTTTGTTTTCTTTGTTCAGTTATTATTCATTTGACCATGCATCTGTGGCATAGCTTGTTTCCAGGACCATCAGTTGGATGTTGAGATGTCGTCTTTGTCAGTCTGAAGTCATAGTTCTTGCTGTTTTTATTTTGCCGCTTTTCAGGGCAGTGTAGGACATGTGATCTTGTACATTGGGGTCACATGACTTAGGACATTGCCACAAATTAATTTTTTTTTTACTTCCTAAAGATAAATTTCCATCACCTTATTGAGGATTTGATTTGAAGTTTCCTCAACAGTAGCCTGGCATTCTAACTGCTCAGCTGGCTGCATTAGTCTCTTTTGCTCTTTCTTTAGTTTTATTGTGAGTTTTTGAATGATTTAAACAGTACAGTGTCATAGTTTAGATTTTTATTTATTTTGATTGTCCTCAGACTCCAATGAACCAGGCTTCATCTCGCTCACACTGCATTTTCACAGTTCATCTGACATGCAAAGAAGAAGGCTCTGTGACCATTAGAAAAGCAAAGCTGCATTTGGTGGATTTGGCAGGGTAAGAGATGAGAGTTATCTGCACATTTTTCTCTAAACATTTTAATGATCATTCTGTTCCATCTTTTTTTAACACACATTTAAATATATCTCTGTATCACAGGTCAGTTTATTCAACTTTAAAATATTTTATTTAAAGTTCTTTTGTTTTTTCTCTAGACATATTTAATCCAAGATAATAAGCTCTATCTGACAACATGCAGGCTTTCTCTTCCTAACACTGTTGACAGGGCAGCAGCCATATCCCATGCTTTTTTGTGACAAAGAGGATGTATGATATCATTAGAGGCAAGGAGGATGTATGATATCATTAGAGGCAAGGAGGATGTATGATATCATTAGAGGCAAGGAGGATGTATGATATCATTAGAGGCAAGGAGGATGTATGATATCATTAGAGACAAGGAGGATGTATGATATCATTAGAGACAAGGAGGATGTATGATATCATTAGAGGCAAGGAGGATGTATGATATCATTAGAGACAAGGAGGATGTATGATATCATTAGAGACAAGGAGGATGTATGATATCATTAGAGGCAAGGAGGATGTATGATATCATTAGAGGCAAGGAGGATGTATGATATCATTAGAGGCAAGGAGGATGTATGATATCATTAGAGGCAAGGAGGATGTATGATATCATTAGAGACAAGAAGGATGTATGATATCATTAGAGGCAAGGAGGATGTATGATATCATTAGAGGCAAGGAGGATGTATGATATCATTAGAGGCAAGGAGGATGTATGATATCATTGGAGACAAGAAGGATGTATGATATCATTAGAGACAAGAAGGATGTATGATATCATTAGAAACAAGGAGGATGTATGATATCATTAGAGGCAAGGAGGATGTATGATATCATTAGAGACAAGGAGGATGTATGATATCATTAGAGACAAGAAGGATGTATGATATCATTAGAGGCAAGGAGGATGTATGATATCATTAGAGACAAGGAGGATGTATGATATCATTAGAGGCAAGGAGGATGTATGATATCATTAGAGACAAGGAGGATGTATGATATCATTAGAGACAAGAAGGATGTATGATATCATTAGAGACAAGGAGGATGTATGATATCATTAGAGACAAGCAGGATGTATGATATCATTAGAGACAAGGAGGATATATGATATCATTAGAGGCAAGGAGGATGTATGATATCATTAGAGGCAAGGAGGATGTATGATATCATTAGAGACAAGGAGGATGTATGATATCATTAGAGACAAGAAGGATGTATGATATCATTAGAGACAAGGAGGATGTATGATATCATTAGAGACAAGAAGGATGTATGATATCATTAGAGACAAGGAGGATGTATGATATCATTAGAGGCAAAGAGGATGTATGATATCATTAGAGACAAGGAGGATGTATGATATCATTAGAGGCAAGGAGGATGTATGATATCATTAGAGGCAAGGAGGATGTATGATATCATTAGAAAGAAATTGACTCTTACAAATTCTCAAATTACAAGCATCCAAACCTAATAACTTTTTGACTGCTCAGCCAACATCCCCCCCCCCCCTTTTTCCTCTCAGTAACACACACCTACACACAAACAGTATAATACCTACAGCACACACAGCAAACCTTTATCTATATTATTTCCTTCATTTTTTAAATGTAAATAAATTTATATTTTCTATTTTTTTAAAAATTCGTCTTTAATGTTTTATTTCATAACTTTTACTGTCTCCATCTCCATTTTTATTTGACTTTTCAGCTTGTTTATGATTCTCTTATTTTGTCTATTGATAAAATCTCTTATTAGAACATTTGGTTGTATTTGTCCATGTATTTTCCTGTCCATTTTTCAGTTTCACAGTCACAGTTTGGGTTGTCTTTATTTACTTCTTGATGTCAGCATACATTTCTCTCTTGTGTACTGCCTGTTGTTCCTAATGTAGATGTTCTTCCACACATTTATGTCAAACAGCTAAGCATTCTCTCATTTGTTTCCTGTCCTCCAACTTTCTAGCTGTCACAGTGAACTCTAATTTTCCCTTTCTTCTAATGCCCTCAAAGAATGTGTATTGTTCTTTGATGCAAGTAACCAGTTCTCTTTGCAAATTGATATTCTTCTAAAAATGATCATTACACATTTGTATCTATCCTTGGTGTTCTCATCATTCTTCTTCAGACCCCGTCTCTGCAACTTCCACACGCATCCTCACTAATCTTCTGACTGTCTAAGATACCCTTCTGTACATCAGAATTGGATTTTCATCTGCTTTGATAGAGGAACCCCGACACTTGAACACATTGACTTGCTTTAGACTAGTCCCACTGACCTTGGTTTAGTCCATAGAAATCTCAAGAACTGAACATTTTTGTTGAATCTTTTGCTTTAAAATAACACATTTTGATTCCACCATGTCATAATAATCATATACAACAGCAACTGTAATGTACATACAACCTCGAACCTTGCTGTTGGCATCCTGTCCTGTGCTGGTGTATATGTTGAAAGGGAAACTGAGCACCTATGGACATGTCCGGAGTGCCATGAAGATAACCCAGATCATAACTCATAACTAAATGTACATACAAATGTCCATCTGATGTATTTTTACTACTGTGATGTGTCATCAATTAGGTCGGAGCGGGTGTCCAAGACGGGAGTCAATGGTGCCATATTGACCGAAGCCAAGTACATTAATTTGTCCCTTCATTACTTGGAACAGGTTAGTATTTGGAGACTAGAGCTGCACTAAATGGGAAACATTTACATAAAATCTTTGAATAAAATATCAGTTGAAAAAATTGTGTGTGCTAATAGGAAGCTCATGAAGAGTATTCTCTACAGCTTCTGAGTAAACAGTGTTTTTTTTTGTGTGTGTAAACATTCTATGTTATTGTGTTCAAATAATGATGAACCTATGGCAGGTGCAACTGTAAGCCATATCTGATCATTCAAATGGAGATGATAAACACTTAATAGCAGCAAATGCTAATTTTATAATATAAAGGGAAAAAGGTACTAAATATAGAATGCTAAATATATGACCCCAAATCACTACTGCTCCAACCTGTTCCAAAATTGGACACAGTATTGTTTAAAAAATAAAATTAAAGCTCTACCCCAAATGGACGTCAGGTTACTTTGTCACCTTCGTCGGTGGTCCTAATATAGTTTTATCATTGAACAGGGTTTCTGGGACTTGCACCTTGAGGATTCTCATCTGAATGGTGGCACTTTGTGTCACTGGGTACTAATCACTCGTTATGTAGTCCTAGTGGGGTTAAACATCACTCACTCACTCAGTACTACTGTACGGAGTATAAATATGGAGAGCAACTAAAACATTTACTTATCGTACTTGGTACGAAGGAAGGCATCACACATTAATTTATAACTAATTTAACTGTCCAATGGTACTAAAAGAGTTATCTCATGCAGATGCAGAATGAAGGGAACTAAATGGTATGACATAATTACTGATGTGGAGCTTGATGAGAAAAACAATTCAAAGATATTTGATAGGTTACACGTTAGGGAAACCTGATAATGATAAAATTACATTCTCCTTGGAACCCATGCCACCAAAGAAATTATGGATAACCAGAGAAGACAAAAAGAAAAGAGTTGGGGTGAATAAGATAGGGAGGACATAGTGAACTGCACAAGTAGTTTAAGGGTTATCATGAATCAGGTGTCGTCTCCACAGTGAAGGTTGGCTGCCATAGTTGTCCATCACTGGGTTTCTTGTGTTTGTTGTACACTCTATCAGACCTCTTGATGTTGTCCTGCCACTTGTTTGATTGCTCTCTTGCCCTCAACCTTACCTTTCAGTACCATTTAAAAAAAAGTGTTATATATTTTAATGTGATCAAAATATTTCAGTTGTCTCCTTTTATTTATTTCAGTAATTCTCTTTTCATTCACAATATTTGATTGTTTTGAATTTAGATTGAGGGTCATTAGGGGATAGAGAGAAGAAGATGGACAAAATAAAAAGCAAAATACAACTGAGAAAGAAGTAACTATCAAACTAAACATATATATTTATATATGTATATATATAAAATACAAAATGTTCACATTTATTTAACATCTTTTCATACATTCAGGTCATACTTGCCTTGTCTGAAAAGAACCGGCAGCATGTGCCATACCGTAACTCAATGATGACCTCCGTACTTAGAGACAGCTTAGGTGGAAACTGCATGACAACCATGATTGCAACTTGTTCATTGGATAAGAGCAACATGGACGTGAGTGGTCTTCATTTTGGGTATTCATTGGTACCTGGGGTCATGAACTTTACTTTTCTTGTACTCCATTTGTAAAGCGAAATGTTAGCGAACCATACAATATTTCCCATTGAAATTAATACAGATCCAATTAATCTGTTCTCCAAACCCAGAAACATATTGTTTTTGACCTTAAAAAAATTGAATTTAATAATATAAAATATACAGTATAACTTGACCTTTGTGGCTGATAGTTGGTGGCCCAGGTAGATGGTAGAGGAGAAGGAGAAGACTACTCGTTTGAAGAAGATTCCTATTCCTTATTAATGTCGGACAACAGAATTGGTGTTTCTGATGGGTTTTTTTCTGTTGTTTGTATCCTAGAAAATGGTTCGATTGCTGGCTCGGTGGCTGATGTTTTCAAAAGATAACAGTCCGGAAACATTTGTCGTTTTTGTTCTCTCCAAAAATTGGACATCACATTGTCATTTAAAATTGTCACTGGTCTGCTGGTCACAATTTTGTTAGGGTGATGCTTCTCAGTTAAAACCTACACTTTACTCCACTTTCTAAAAATGTCCTTGATTTCAGCATTTGAGTGCTCCTCCTGCATAACTTTCATCATGTTTGGTTATTATTTTTGTCATGACTGTCACTAACACTTTTAATTTTCTTGGGAGCCATAATTAGGGGTTAATGCCATGTAACGAAAATTTTTTTTAATGTATCTCAAACAATGCAATGACAAATAATGTTCTCAGCGTGCAAACATGAGTACAGCTGATGCTGTTCACAAACCAAAAACATTGCACCAAAGCAACATTTTTGCATTTGTGTGTCTATGCATTGTTCCTGGGTTGAGTCAAAATTTATTTAGAAATTGAGTTCGGGGGCTAATTCGTTCATGACTAGAGGCATTCATGGCCTGAGTTTCCACTTAGTTTTAAATTATTTTTGGGTATTATATGTGGTTGAACTGCTCCATTTTGGACAGCTGCTCTTTCTCCTAGTGATTAACTTTCTCTGTGTTAATTTCTTCCCATCATTCCCAGACAGATGTTATATTATCTTTTCTCCGAGGGATTAACTGAACTTCCTCTCTATTAATTCTTTCCTTTCATTCCAGGATAAATGTTATATTATTATTTCTCCAAAGGTTTAACTTTACTTTCCCCTCTGTTAATTTCTTGCTTTCATTCCTAGACAGATGTGATACTATCCTTTCTCTGAGGAATTTACTTCCTCTGGTTTGCTCCTTCATTCATTGATACTAAGGAATATTCTGAGAAAAGGTTCTGAGTACACATGGATGAAATGGTTTAATGTGCCATGAGGGTGACCATGTTATGAATTTATCTGAAACTGGCTTAAAGATCTGTGCTTCAAGGCAAGATGATTAACTTTATTAGCGCAGCTAGAACGTCTCACAAAGCTTGAACTCTGTAGCTCCATGGTTAACCCCGAGGAATATCTAAAGCACCTGCATTCACAAACTGAAGGAAATGGTCTGAAATAAAACTCAGTCTTCAGACAAATGGCTCAACTATTTTGTCATGGAAGGAAATGAGTTTTACTTGCCAGATGCTGTTGAAGTTGACTATGTACCATTCTTTCCATAATTTTGGCAGTACATCTTAGAATTTCGGGTGATAATTAATTATGCCTGGTTTGTCTTTGGACAGTGCCCAGTATGCCTGTATGACAGGTTTGGTATTGGCTGCAACAGCCCAATGTATAGACATAGTGGGTATGATTAAATTTACCCAAGAAAAATTTGTTCAAATATTTATTTGAGAAAACCCCCCCCCCCCCCCCCCCCCCCAAAAAAAAAAAAAAAAAACATTAGTGTATATATATATATATACACACACAGTGATTTTTTAAAAAAATATTTTGATTCACCGTAACATAATATATTTCATAATCACTATACCTCACATTACTGTTTGTGGCAAAAAGACCAAAACCATTTTTAAATGGTCAAAAGAAACCAAATCAGTTAATTCTTTGCTCTGTTTGTTTTAAGGATTCCTTCCCTTTATGTAGGCATACACCTTTTCCCAATATAAACCTTCAGTAACTAGAACAAAGTGAAAAAAGTTTTTCGTGTAGTGATGTGAAATCATCAGAGACACAGAGAACTTCACACCTGTTTTCTCTGTGGTCTACAGGTTCGACTCCCAAGATATCTATAAAAAAATTGACTAGGATTCTAAATTTCTTTTTCTGAATCTTCAATTTTTATAGTTTGTAAGTCAGAATTTCAAAGAATTTTAAGGGTGAATTATTTTTAAACATAATTTGTAAAAAAAGTAATTTCTTTAAGATTCTTATCCGGCAAAAGGGTTAGGATTCTTTATGGTTTCATTTTTATCATTGTCATATTTTCAGTACACTTTTCTATATTATTTTGTTTTCTAAATTGTTTTAAAATGTGTTTCTTATATTTCTTTGAAATATCTATTTTTCAGGAGTCAATATCAACGTGTCGATTTGCTCAGAGGGTTGCTATGATTAAAAATGAGGTCACTCTCAATGAGGAACTTGATCCTCGTCTACTGATTGCTAAGCTCAAGAGAGAAAATGCGGAGCTGCGTGAACAGCTGGCCATGGCCACAGGGGAGCAGTTGTCAGAGGAGCTTTCACCAGAGAATATTGAAAGGTATTGGAGATAGGGAAGGGTGATTTTGCTAAAGCTATATTGATAAAAACCTTTGTCAGAATTTATACATGTTATCTTTATATATATATTTTTGCTGAGCTTCCTCATTGCTTTTCTTGTGTTTGTTAATTTGTAAAATGGAAACACTTTTCTTTATTTTACCTCAGATAGAGGAAAAGCTTTGTTTATTCTACCTTAGAGGACATCTTATTGTTTATTTTATCCTGGATAGAGGAAAACCTATTGTTTATTTATTGCAGATACATGAAAAACTCTTACCTCAGATAGATGCAAAACAAAATTTTTTTTTACCTCAGTTGGATGAAAACTACTTTAAAAATTTTTTTTTAAATTTGTTTTTAAAATACATACTGATTAAAACCCATTGCCTCACCAAGGCTGCCAGATGTATGAGACAGGTAATCTAGTAAGAAACTCAGCCACTCCACTACTCTCTACAGTTATAAATGCTTGTTAAATTAAACTGGCTGTATTATTGAAACTTGTAAATGTACATCCAATATATTGCTAATCAACAGATGTGAAAATTCTGTCAAATTTTATCTGCAAGATTCTGATCCGGAGGGAACTTTAAATATGGGGCATGATCTGAGGAAAATACAAAGATGTTTCAGAATATTGAAGGTAATAAGTTCCACTTCAGAGTTTATATTATTCACTGGCATTTGTGCATGGTCCAAGCTTAGTAGAACATTGTGGTAGCAAATGTGTAAGTGTAAAGTTGATTTCATGATCTGTCTGTACTTTCTGGCCTAAGCTGGGTAGAAAATGATGGTAGCAAATGTGTGACATTAATAAACTACACACATGTACAATTGCTGCCTGCACAGAATAGAAAGAATGAAACGGTATGACTGAATGGCTGTTTTGTAGCTTTGAGACAGAATTATAAAAACTGAGGTGCTGATTAGGATCATGAATATTTCATAATATTATAACTAAAATGTGCTTGCACTCAAAACCACAAGGTCAAAGAAATAAAGTTAGACTGAACAACACAAAGAACAGAGAAGGAGAGATGAAGATGAATATAAGGGGAAAGTGTATATTTCTGAATGCAACCTGAAAACTTCATGTTATGGCAGGGAAGACCAGGCCCTTAGCCGTATCTGGTAGCTGGTTTGGAAGAGAAGCTCTGACAGGCTGACAGATAGAGCACTTTTTTTGATCTGGCAGTTTCTGCAGCCTGTTTTGTTATAGGCTTACTGGTGTTACCTTTCCTTTGGAGTAAACAAGGCAGGTCAAGAGAGAGATCGGGATTCATGGGCAACATATGGTCTTCACAATACTGCAGAGGCTTTGTGCTGTGGAGAGAAGGAACTTCATCCTTGTCCTTAACTGGTCTCGGAAACAAATCGAGAGGCAGCAGTTAGAGGTTATAGGTCCTTGTGAATTGGCATAGACCAGAGTGCCATGGGTTGCCTCTGATGAGGGGGGGGGGGATCTTTCAATGTCACTAATCAGCTACCACTCACCTCTAGCTGGGCAGCCCCCAGCCAATAAGGTGTTGAGCCGTCACAGCCTGTGTGCTTCAGTGGTACTTAGAACTAGGACAAAATCAGGATTGTAGACTGTAAAAACCAGTGTGCCAGGCAATAAAAAGAAATATAACTTCAGGCTTCGACTTTTCTCTTGGAATGTGAGGACCATGTATCCTGAGTTTTTCCACTGACCTGGAAAACTGGAAAACATTAGTAATGTGAGAAAAATGGCTATCATTGATGCTGAACTCAGTAAACTTGACATAGATATTGCTGACCTACAGGAAACACATCTACCAGAGGATGGGTCCATAAAAGAAAATAATTATACAATCTTCTGGAAAGGTAGAGGTCAGGAAGAAATTCAGAAGTATGATGTGAGATTTGCAGTAAAGAATTCACTATTGGGATAATCTGAGAGTCCAGCTGGAGGAAATAAAAGAATATTATCTCTGCGATTGTCTACCTCAAGCCCTTGTTACTGCATATGCGCCCATTCTAAAATCAGTGGAAAATGCAAGGGACTTTTTATGAGGAATTGGATAATGCAGTGAAAGCAATTTCTAAATTTGATGGCATCTACATTTTGGTGATTTTAATGCTCGTGAAAGCTAAAACTTAAACTTCTGGCCAGATTGCCTTGGAAAACATAATGTTGGTCACATAAATAAAAATGGGCAAAGACTGTTGGAATTCTGCACTAGAAGTGACCTGTGCATTGCAAACTCCTTTTTCAAAACTAAAGACCGCCATAAGTTATCATGGAAACATCCAAGATCTGACCAATGGCACCAGTTGGACCTTATTCTCCCAAAAAGGCAGCACTTGAACTGTGTATCACTAATTCGCAACTACCACAGTACTCACTGTGATACTGACCCTTCCCTAGTTGCTACAAAAGTTCAGAATAAAACCAAAGAGAATTTTCCCTTCAAGAAACAAATACATCCCCAGGTTAAATATTTCTAAAATTAACCCCTGAAAAGTGTTTTTAAGTTCCAAGAACAGCTCGAAGATGATGTCTAGGATAACTCTACACAATCTTAAAATGGGATGCAATTAGGGAGACTGTCTAAAAAACAGCTGCAAAAGTTTATGGGATTAGAGAATGTAGAAATAAGGATTGGTTTGAAGCAAATTGCCAGACACTCCAACCCTTAATTGAGAAAAGCGTTAATGCATCTCAGAAACAAGGAAAGAACAACAAGGAACACTCAGTGAATTGAGAGAAGCTATAAATCATTTGCAAAAGGTAGCTAGACGGTGTGCCAACGGCTACTGGATCCAGTTTTGTGAAAGCATTCAGAATGCTGGCAGTAGTGGTAATGTTAGAGGCATGTATTAGGGGATAAAAAAGATCATCGGGCCGACTATTAAAAAAATTGAACCACTAAACAGTTTAAATGGAGAGATTATTACTGACAAGAAGAAGCAGCTAGACAGATTGCTGGAACATTATCTGGAGCTGTATTCAGTTGAGACTAAACTAACAGATGTTGCTCTTAATGCCATGAAGACGCTACAAACTCTTAAATATCTGGACACATTTCCAACAGTTGAAGAAGTTAGAAATGCTGTTGATGAACTTGCTTCAGTGAAGGCTCTAGGCAGAGATAGAGGTCCTATTAAGATCATCGGGACATTCTAACCCCACACATTCATCAGCTAATAACACTGCTGGTGTGAAGGACAGGTTCCGCTTCAAGGACTCAAGCATCATAACTACGAATATGAATGTTGGTGGAAATTATGTTTCCAGAGACAGATGCATAGTGTGGTGTTTGTTGTATATGCTACCTTGAGTGTAGTTCCTTAACTCTTCTAGTTCCAGAAGATATTCATCAACGATGACCAGTGGGTGAAAATAACCCGAATAAATGAATGTATATTACCCTTAAAGTGGTTATATACCCAGTCTTGGTATGAGAGCTGGTCTCTTATTTGGGAGAGTTGGGTTAAAATTCTCTGTGAGGTGATAGGATTTTTCTGTTAGTTCATAGTGACTGCACCAGCTCTATGAATGTAAATTTTCATGCTGCAAATGATGCTGTAGACCACTTTTAAATGGTAGAATACAGGCAGTAAAAGACAGTTGTGTACACAGACTAGGTGGCAACTTCTTATGTATACTCTGACCAAATGTAATAGGTAAGAAAACATGTTTTGTGATGTTTGGGACTTATGGGAATGAACATGCCACATATGATACTTAGCTTAGTACCTAAAGTTTTTTATTTCTAAGAAATTAAAGTTTCATTCATGTCTGTATTACGAATATTGTTTATTTAATGAATGTTAGAGGTATGTACTGGAGAAGCCTCAAGCACAGCCACAGCAGGTAGAAGCATTTTCTAGAGAACCAAGCTCTCTGGATGTTGGCCCCTACAGGGATACAGAAACCAGAAAATTGAAAGAACTTCTAGAACAAAGAGACAATGAAATTAGTATCCTTGATTTGTAACAGTTGTTATTGTACACAAGCGTATGCTAGTTTCTGTCTCTCTATCTCTATCTGTCGATTCGTCTTCTCTCTCTTTCTTTTTTTTTTTAACTATCTGTACTTCTGTGGTTGATGCTGGCTTTCTTTCTCTCTCCTTCCATCAGCTTTTCTCCTTTTATACATTCAGTCCATACTTCTGTGCCTAACTCTCTCTTTCTCACTCTGTCTTTTTCTCCTTCAGTTTGCATCCTTGTGTTGTTTTCTAGCATTTTCAGATTTGATTTGATTCAAGAACCGACATCACAGCACTCAGGGCATTCCCATAAGTGCTCCGTCCCCATCTTCAGCAGCCAGTGAAGAGTTCTGATACTAATGGTGCCAGTAGCATTCTGATTAAATGTCCGTCTTGCCTTTCCTCTGAGCCGCGAGCATCTGCCAGAACCTCTCGTCACTCCCCCCTGCATCAGTCTCACCAGACTGTGGTGATCCATCTGCTCCTCCGAACTGTACACGCTCTCCCACAAGGCACTAACCACGTCTGCCTTATCATGTATCAGCATTCCACCAAGTTGTGCAGAGCCAGCCAGTCTGTCCGCCTGTTCATTTCCCAACAAACCGGTGTAACCTGTGAAAAAATCCAGACAATACTCCTCACCCGTGTCCTCCGCAGCGAAGCATGCCACTCTGCACAAAGCATACCTGTTCTGATCTTCCTCAGCATGCTTTCTGAGTCAGTTACAATCACGGTGTGTGTGTGTCATGTTCTCTAGCCAGCGGAAAGCTGCAGTGACCGCCTCCACCTCCATTCTTGAGCTAGATGTTGTGGTATCATATGCTAGGCTCTCCTGCACCAAATGTCGACCATTAACTTTTGCTAAGAAGCCCCAAGCACTTCTTTTGCCTCTTGACACTGAACCGTCTGTGTAAATGATCAAATCCTCTGAGCGAGCATTATCTTGAATTAATTGCTGAATTTCCACCTCTGTGGCACCTGCTGGCCAGTCTCTGCATTCCCGGCTCAACGTGATTATGACTACACAAGTCTGACTGCTCAGGTGGCACTTTGACCCACTCCTCTCCTCGCCTAATGTTCTCAAGGTTGCAAACCTGTCTGATTGTGTCTTCTGCCTGAGCCATCCATGACCTTCCTCTTATCAGCTGCTGACCCTTAACTGCACCCAGAGCTTCATGCAAAGGGTGGTCTGTGTCTGCAGCTACCCTGAGATATGACTTCGCCTGCAGCACCTTGTGCCTACCTGCAATCGTCGGCAAACCAAGGATGTATTGCATACATTGCCTGTGTCTTCTGCCCGAGCCATCCATGGCATTTTCTCTGACCTCTTAAATCTTCTTTGCATCACCCTTTTCTAGTCTTTCTCTTTCTGTTTCTTTTTGAATTTCTTTTAAGGGTTTCAGTATGACCAAAGATGTTCTCTCCATAATCATGTTAGGTTAGTCAGTATGAAGACTATTTGTCTGAATATCCTATTCCTTATTCTGTTCAGTTTCCATAACTTCAGCATCAATCTGAACCTTAAAATATTTGCATGCCTGTATAATGTAGTTGTGCTCTTAGATGTTCTCATTTTTCCCCAAGATTTTTGCCTACACTGGTTTTTTTTCTCTCTGAATGTTTCCTGCCACTCTTTGACTACCTATTAACTATTTGAAAAGTCATGTGTCAGAGCCCTTATTGTACACAAGATATCCTTGTGAATATGCTGAAGCTTGAAAGAAAAAGAGCTTCTGATGGTCAGCGAAGTGCTTTGACGATGGCCTCCCGAACGTCTGTGCATTCAGTGCATAATGTTAACAGTGAACCACTGAATGGACACCATCATCAGGGAGAGGCGGCCAATACAAGCATGGACAATGGGAAAGGAGATTTGATCAACCGAGCTACAAGTGAGGAAAACATAAAGCGCCAAGACACTTTCTATGTGTCTAGGAGTACTTCGACTACCATAGATGATGGAGACTCAATGAAAGCAAAGATCTGTAAGGAAATATCAGCTTAATTCTCATGAGTGAACTATAGTAGATAAAAATAAAAAACAGGTTCTTTATAAATATTTATGTGTGTGCATGCGGGGGAGGGGGGGGGGCGGGGGTTTGACACCAAACTAGATGATTTTTAAACCACCTAGGATGATTTTAGTGCTATTGCTGTATTTATTGAGGATTCTTTGAATGTAAAACATATTTACCACAAAATGTATTAACAGTGGTAATGGACAGATTTGGTGTAACAAAGAGGCAGGGAAAAGACACAGTTTAGTAAGAAGTAGGGGAAAGTCTTAGTGTAACAGTGAGGCAGGGGAAAGACTGTTTAATAGAGAAGCGATGGAAATACTTGGTGCAACAGAGAAGCAGGGGAAAGACTTGGTATAACAGAGAGGAAGGGAAAGTCTATATGTAGCAGAGAAGTGGGAGAAAAACTTGGTGTAACAGAGAAGCAGGGATAAGACTCGGTATAACAGAGAGGGAGGGGAAAGACTCAGTGTAACTGAGAGGCAGAGGAAATACTTGGTGTAACAGAGAGATGGGAGAAAGTGTAACAGAGAGGGAGGGAAAAATGCAATATAATAGAAAGGCAGGGGAAAACTGTAACAGAGACAAGGGAAAGACTTGGTGTAACAGAGAGGCAGGGAAAAGATTGGTGCAAGAGAGAGGCAGGGCAAAGACTTGGTGTAACAGAAAGGCAGAAGAAAGACTGTGTAACAGAGAGGAAGGGTAAGATTTGGTGTAACAGAGAGGCAGGAGAAAGACTTGGTGTAATAGAGAGGTGGGAGAAAGACTTGGTGTAATAGAGAGGCAGGAGAAAGATTTGGTGTAATAGAGAGGCAGTGGATAGATTTGGTGTAATAGAGAGGCAGTGGATAGATTTGGTGTAAAGGGAGGCAGCGGAAACACGTGGTGTAACAGTGAGGCAGGAGAAAGACTCGGTATAACATGTGGAGAGAGAAGACTCAGTATAATAGAGAGGCAGGGGGAAAATGTTGTACAGTATTATATGTTGTGAACTTGGGAAGACTAATTCAGAAAACATGCTTGAAATAGATGTAACAGTCGAAAGACCAGATATCACAGCTATGCCTTGAGCAGGCACAACAAAATTATGTCATTTAGACAAACAGTGCCAAAGAAGAAGATGATATGCTGTGACATTTTTTTTTTTTTTTTTTTTTTGAGTTTGCTAATATAAAGTTTTTTTTTTTTTACATTTTCACATAATTAATACAGTGGGTGACATGTCATTGGGCAGACAAGAAGCTTTCGACATTTTCATGAGAGACTATCGTGATAGGGACAAGATTGAGGCAAACAAGCAATTTCTTAAGAAAAGGTACACAGAAGCAAAGGCTCTCGGTGAACAACTGAACAATTCCAAGCAAAAAATGAGTAAGATAGTAACAGTTTATTCTTAATTAAGCATAATCTCTTTTGTATATTCACTTAGTTTGTTACAGAATGTTTGACACACATTTCTTGGAGCATCTTACCTTTACTTTAAATGTTTATGGCATATGAAAGTTGTAACTAAAGCTGTTGCTAGTAAACCACAAACATTCATAAATTGTTCCCTGTGCATAATAGAAGAAAACAAAAGGTAGACAGAATCACTGAGTAGGGCTTATGGAGAGAACAAAAATGTGAGAAAATCCAGAGGTGAGGAAAAGACATCGGCACTGGATAGGTTGCATAATGAGAAATTCACGCTGAGAGTTCAGGGACAGTCTAGAAAGTGCGGCAGAATCAATAATGTAATCATCTGTACTGATAGCTTCATGTTGAGAGTCAGAAAGAGTGCATAGCAGTTCATAGCAAAAGTGAATGGATGACCCTAAGTGCAACAGCGCCAGGCATATGATATCACATCTAGTTTGAGAATGGAGATGGAGGCAGTCACTTCTTCTGGCTTGGGAATCGGCTGTACACACATTTTGAGATTGTAACTGAGTCACAAAGCATGCTGAGAACAGTGGACAGGTATGCTCCGTGCAGAATGGCAAGCATTGCTTTACAGGTCACCAGTTGTTGGCATCCTTTAGATATTATTTCAAGGGTTTACAGGTATGTTGGGAAATTAGCAGGCCGACAGATGGGCTGGTTCTGCACCACTTGATGGTAAACTGAGGCATGACAAGCTAGATGTTTTCAGTGCCCTTTACGAGTGAGTGAAAGTGCAAAGGCAGAGATATGTCTCTGAAGAGAATGGTGCAGATGGAAGTGGCCAATAGGGATCTGGCAGACATTCAACACTCATGGGAAATGCTACACAGACCTACAAACTGCTACTGGTACCATTGGAATTGAAACTCTCTGCTGAAGATGAGTACAGGGCACTTATGAGAATGTCCTGAGTGCTGTGATGTCCGATCTTAACTCAGCTCATAGAAAATCCTTTCTGTCAAACTTGCAAGATAAAAGAAAGAGTAAGACCTGGGGAACACATAGAGAAGAGCATTTAAAAACAGATTCAAATAAGGGGCGGATTACAAGAGAGCTGCAGAAGATGGTAACAGTCAACTTGGTATGAATTGGTTGACGATGTGTAACACAACCCTTGATCTGTTAACCCTACCAGACCGCTGGCCCAGTTTACCGGGAATTTCTCAACCTGTCTCTATACCGCTGGCCCTAATTTTAGGCTTTTTGCGTAGTACGGGAAAACGATGCGTCACGGACTAAAAATAGCCACCCATTCATTATCAATCCTCTTTGTTAGACATTGCAAATGTCTGCCCGCACGTGTTTGGATTATATTTGTGTTGTTTTACGTGGAAAAATTCTGAAAATTCACAATGAAACGAGCGGCTGATGAACCAAGTTCTAGGCTTTTCACAGTCCAACAGGTGATCGTTACTTTGGTTTATTCAGACTCTGTGATATACATATATATATATATATATATATATATATATATATATTCATTATCTGTGATAATTTCATAAAGAATACGTTCTTGAAGTGACACTGTCAGTGAGAGCGCAAATGATGAGGAAAATCTTGAAAATTATAAATCTTGAAATAGATCGATAGTAGGAGAAGGGGGTGTGTCCATCAAACGGCAACATCTGGTGTTCACTTTGTAAAACAAAGATGATCCTGATGAGTGGATTCACACACAAAGGTGGAATATTGGTGCTAGATAAAAGGTAAGCCCATTTTCTACAATGTCTCCAAGTTTCATCATATTCTAGCCACTCGTTTGCATGTAACTAATATTTTTGTATATCATGTTGGTTTTTTTGCGGTAAAGCCCAGGAGCTCAGCTTATAGGGACAGTTAGGTTCAGGGCCTCAGGTCTGGTAGGGTTAAGTGTTGTGGGGGTGTATCGATGGAAGCACTTGCACACAAAACCTACCATATTTCTCTGTTTTCTGCTAGTTGAACAAGTGTATGATAAGTTAGTCATGTCCATTGTTTGATGTTGTCATTCCAGCTCCTTCTTTGCCCTCCTCTTCTTCGACTACCCTCCAATGTTCCTTGAAGTACAGTCTTTATAATCGAATCATGTCTCACCACGTGCCCGAACCAAGCTAGCTTGCGACGTTTCACCACTGCCAAGAGAGGCTTCTAATGTCCTGCAAATGTATTTATTTTGTCTCTGACGTATCTGTTAATTTTATGTTCTAAATAAATAGTACGTAAAATTTGTCTGTAGCGTTTATGTTTGAAAGCCTGAATCCTCATTTCTATTTCCACAGTGAGAGTCCAACTTACCAGTGATTTGTATACATTGACCTTTACTGCAATGCTAATTTTGATCTTCCACAGGAGAAGAAGCATTGACTTGTACTTTTTATGGCTTTAGTTTATTTTCATTTACCTGGTATAGCCTGGTTATTTGCACTGTAACCCTTTTTGTATGACATATTAAAGTAACCTGGAACACACCTCATAAATAAAATTCCAACAATGTTTAGTGACATCTGATTATTGTTCTGACCCAAATAAATAGATTAATTGTTGCAGTGAAGATTAAAGAAAACTGCAAGTGGAACAGAAATATTTCAGCAGTGTTAAAATTTGTCAAAAGAAGTCACACATGACCACAATATAGGAAGGCAATTGAAACATCCTGAGCTACTGTGTGGCAGGACACATTCAAAGAATTACAAACTAGTTTTTCTTGTCTTGCTGTCTTGTTGTATCTACAGGACAGTGATTATACTGTATTGTTTGTTTCTTTCAGATCACTTGAAAAAAATTCTGGCACAGATTAGAATTCAAAGTGAAATGTCAGGTCAGTGGAATAATATGTTTACTCATTTTCATTGGTAGTTGGCACTAGTTTAAATAAAATCATTTTAGCAGACTGTCGTGGGTTTCTTGTGGATACCTTTGTAATGAGTGTGAGTTTGAATCCCATCACTCCACCTCCACATGAGAAACTGGACTTGTGTCTAGATTAAGATGATACCAGACAAACTCATGGATATCCAAGAAAATAGCCATATTTGGCTTTAAATATAATTAACAGTAGCTGTACTTGGTACCTATGGGGGGAAAAAAAGGATTAAAAAAAGTAAAGGATCTTTTCCACGCCTTCAGGAATTTTGGGCACATAGGGCTAGATCTATATTTTATAGACCAATCAGCACTTGGTGGGTGAAATAGTCATCATCACGCCGTTCACCTTTGCTTCCCAGGACTCTACTTTTACCCATTTAAGGCTGAGTCAGCCTGGGAGCCAAGGTCATTTTTTAAGAAAGTCCAGTATCATCAGAATCTGAACCCATGACCTTCCAAGAGGCACTTGGTATTTACCAATTTACATGTAAGTGCCAGTTGACTTACATCTGTCGAACGGAGAGACAGCTTGGAAATAGATTGGCAGAGCACATACCCAAATGGCTACATACACAGCTCAGTGATCCTTCTAGGGTGTCGAGACCAGTCAAGAGGAAAGAACCTGTTTCTTCCATAGGACGTCATCTACTTAATTCCGGACACATAAATGACACAGACAGAGCTTTCCATGTGGTTTACCACACTCCTAACAGGAGACTGTTGAGAATCGCCAAAGCTTTAAAAATAAAATCAATAACCCCGTTCTTTGTAAGCAGACGGAATTTATCATAAATTAGAAGTTACCCTGGTAAGTCACGTGCCTATGGTGAGCTTCCGGCGGCCATGAAACAGACGCAATGTGTCAGAAGAAACTATTCACATTTCAGTTGAATTTTTTCATTTTTGTGCTTTATTTTATGTTGATGTAACTCTGTAGTAATGCACCTGATGAGATACAGCGAAATATGCCTGGTAATAAATTTTTCAATGTATTGTTTGAATCCGCATTATTTAAAATTATTTGCCCATTACATAATTTTTTCCCACTCAGTTTGTTACAAGGCTGTTTGTGGCAGCTTCCTGTGTTATCATTATTATCATGTCTGTCTGAGCTAACATTCAAAATTTTATGCTCACTTGCATCGGAAGTGTACACTGTAACAGCTATAAAAAAAAAACACACTTAAGGAACAGTTATAAACATATTAACAAAATGTCACAAAATACTTCGAAATATTTAAATCAGAAAAACTTGAGTATCAAATAAACTGAGATGTGAAACTATGACAAAAGGCATGAAAGAGGATCATCTGCCAGTTGTCTGGATGGTCACTCTGGTCTTTGAAGCAAATAATGCACTTGATAAATCAGGTCAAAGACTACATTTGCAACAACAGTTGTATGGTGCTTATTTTCAGTACACTCCTAATCACCTATTTTAAAGGTTCAACATAATGCCAACAATTTAAAACATGCACAATTTAAGTGACATATTAAAACATCGCACATAGTGCCAAAAGTACAGTTTTGCTCGACAAGGGTAAAATATTATCACGTTTGTAAGAAAGTACCAAATTTAGCAGCCCTATTTTTCCTAATCTCAGTTATCAGAGTTTAGCTCCTCCCCCTATTTTTTATTATATCACAGCTCCTCCCCCTTAAAAAAAATATATCACAGTTTCCCTTGGGAGAGGCTTTAATTAGCCCCACCACTGAGGTACTTTCATACTACAGTAGTCTTTCTTTGTAGCTGTCATTCATTTAATGATTGCATATCTTCTCATCAAACATTTTAAAGTGGGGCCGTCTGGTTTTTCCAGTATACATAATAGGTGCGAAAAACCAGCCTTGTTTTTTTTTTTCACTAGAGCCACCAGTCTGAAACTTTCTTCTTATCAGGCTTACCTCCCCTATATGGGAAAGTCTGAAGGGCTTTTGTTAGCTGGGATTTTGATACTTTAACTGTAAAATTTGGTAATATTAGACCAGTGATAGTTTCTTTGTCTGGTCTAAAAACTGGAAACAATTTGTAATCAAACGTTTTAGTATTTGAGCCTAGCGTATAGTAAAATTAATTCTTTGTTTCTTTATTTAACAAAGAAAGTTTATTAAACACTACATTTTGAAATCACTGATGTGCTTCTGTGGCACAGGCAGATGATGAAAATAGAACAACCATGTCACACACACTAAAAAGTATCCAGTCATCTCCTTTGAGATGCAACTTTTCTTTATTTTGAAACCCCACCCAGGGGCCGCAATATAGCCCGGCCATAAATATGGTCTAATGGCTGAACGCGGTTTCTGAGACCTCTCCATGGGTGATCCTCATCCACATGGTGGCACTTTGTGTCATCAGGTGTTTATCGCTTGTATGATGTCCTAGTGGGGTAAAAATCTACTACTACTGATACTACTACTACTACTACTACTACTGATACTACTACTACTACTACTACTACTGCTGCTACTACTACTACTACTACTACTACTACTACTACTACTGCTACTACTACTACTACTACTACTGCTATTACTGCTACTACTGCTACTACTACTACTACTGCTACTACTACTACTACTACTACTGCTATTACTACTACTACTACTACTACTACTACTGCTACTACTACTACTACTACTACTACCACCACCACCATGTCTCATATTAATGGTATCCATGCTCTGTGATTACTGTAAACATGTTTTTTTTAAATAATCATTCATATTTTAAAGAGCAGTTTGTTCCCTATTTTTTTTTTCATTTATTTGTTTTTAACAATGTGAGGGAAATATAAACATCTAGAGATAAACAACATTTAAAAAAAATTAGAATTGACAATTTGTTGAAAGTGCATGCGTGTGAGTGCGTGCGTGTGCAAGCAATTAGAGAGTCGAATTGCAGCACCCAAAAATGTACATCTGTTGAAAATTACAATTAGAATTCATTTTATGAAAAACAATCATATAGGGTTTTGGAAAGATCTGTGGAAGGAGGGATAGAAGAAGACAACAAGAGAAGATTCTTGACAGTCTTGTTACATGGCATGGAAGTGTGTCGGCACATGAACTGATACATGCTGCAGAAGATCGCAGATTGTGGAGCGGCATGATTGCCCATGCCACCTGATGATGATGATAATGAGGGTTTTGGAGAGATTCGAAATTAAAATACACTAGTTGAAAGAAATAAAAAATATGCAAAGGACACTCTTATAAAAACCACATTAGAGGTAAAAAAATGAAGGTAGTCGGCAGGCACGAGGAAGGCAGATAGGGATGTAAGTAAAGAATAACATTCACGGATGGTAGAGATGAACAGCAGTCTCAGAGAGTGCATAACTAGGGTGAAAGACAGATCATGTAGGAGATTGTACCCACACACAAAAAAATAATAACTTAAAAATGGTTATAAAAGAACGTGCAACCAGAAAAAGAAAAGATTTACTACATCAGTCAATCAGGTGTCATCTTCACAATAAAGGCTGAATGCAATGGATGGATTGCCAACATTCTCTATCTTTTGTCATAGTAGTACATTCTCTCAAACATCTGTTTGTCTATCTCTTAGTGTTGTCCTCCCACTTGTATCATTGTCTACTTCTTGCTATCTTTCAGCTGACTATAATGATGGTGTTATTGTTGTCCAGTTATTCTTGTCACTATTAAACAGACTAGGCTGGGCCCACATGTATCATTGTCTACCTCTTGCTGTCTTTCAGCTTACTATAATGATGGTGTTATTGTTGTCTGGTTACAATCTATTCTTGTCGCTATTTAACAGACCAGGCTGAGCCCACATGTATCGTTGTCTACCTCTTGCTATCTTTCAGCTGACTATAATAATGTTGCTACTGTTGTCTGGTTACATTCTATTCTTGTCACTATTGAATTGTTCAACAGACCAGACTGGGCCCACTTGTATCATTGTCTACCTCTTGCTGACTTTCAACTTACTGTGATGCTGGTGTTATTGTTGTCTGGCTACATTCTATCCTTGTCACTATTTAACAGACCATGCTGGGCCAGGCGGAGATAACCAGATGGAGGTTGAGGTCCGGAAACAGGTGGAGGAAGAGAAGTTTGTGTGAGTGTTTTCATTGATCTGTCCATAGTTTTAGTTTGTCAGGACATTTCCTAGTGTGAAATCATGTGTTTATGGGAGTCAAGATCATTTTTGAAAAAGGTCAGCCTTAATCAGGAACTGAACCCATGACCTTCTGAACTGCAGTCGACCATCTAGCTGCTACACCATAGCAGCTCCCATGTTTGTGAAGGAGGAGGGAAATTATGGTTGGGAGCCTCACCTACCAAGATAGTGGCCCAGGGGTTGAGCTCCAGCAGTGGCAGGGATGTGGAATCAGGGCTCATAGTGGAAGCTTTCCATGTGTTGCTGGGGGTGCCCATGTGTTGCTGGGGGTGGAATAGTAACACTATCATCTTCTATGTCTGTCATAGGAGATAACTGAGGAGGGTTTGGCATGTTGGCTACCTCATTCCATCAAAAGCATTAGCCTTTTTGAGAAGCACTTGACATAATTCTAATAGGCTTCCACATTTGCATGTGTCCAGGTACAAGAACACCTTTATGTCCTTGCGGTCTTTGAAAACTGAGATAGAACACATGCAGCACTTGCTGGAGAAACTAAAGGTCAAACTGATGAAAGACTTTGAACTTTGGTGGGCAGAACAGTCAGCCAACAGCCGCCTGCCGGTATGTAGTTTCTGCTTGGAGAAGCATTTATTTCCCTTGTTTAGTTCTATTTTATTATGGTTTCAACTGTGAGAGGCATTCATTTTCTCTGTTTCGTGTCGTTTTCTTTGTGATTTCAACTGCAAGTTTTGTGCTTTCACTGTTAGTATAGGAGAGAAGGGATGTGCTGAGACAGTCCCAAGTAACCTGTGTATGTTTAGCTCATTCAAGGGGGCAGTTTCACACAGATGATATGACAGTATTACTAATTGGTTCAAAGAACAACCAGTCTTTATTCACTACTTTACTGCAGCATATTGTATTGCTACAATCGGATATTTTGTTTCTTGTCTTTGAAGCATGCTCCAGCAGATATGTCACCACCCATTGGTGCAGGCCAGAGAGTTCTGTCAGCATGGAAGACACCTCCCATAACACCTTCAGCATTTCCTAATGGACATGGTACTCAAAGAACCTTCAGCTATGATAATTTGTCCTCACTCAACAATGATGCTGACAATAGAGGCAGCGCAACCAGAAAACCAAGGCAAGTCAGCAGTTTGTTCTAAAGAGGAGAATCAAATGTTTGCAGTTTAGTTTATGAGCCGGGATATTTTTTGCTTCTTTTTCTGGTCTGTATCTCCCCGTATAACAAAGGATCTCAATCTGCTTGTGCGTGTCAAGTCATCCTTTTCTTTACAATCATATGTTGCTCATGCTATGTTCTTCCTATCCAATCCATCTCTTCATCCTGTGTTCTTTGGTCCCCCCTTGATTACATTGGGCCTGTGGGTTCCAGTGTATATTTTATATATAATACTGAAAAATGCTAGCTAAAATGTGTGTATTTTACTGCATGGTGTGGAAATGTATTTGTGGATAAGGTATGAGAAGAAATAGAGGAGACTATGATGACAACTTCATAGCATGGTGACGACTAGCAAGATTGATGGAAAACAGCAAGGGAAGACAAAGCAATAATGACCTGCATGGCATGGATACATGGATGGAGAGGAGGAGGGGCCACAAAAGAATGGCCATGATCCCTGATTTTAGTGCTAAGGCTTATGCTTATCGACAGCGCACATGATGATGATGATTGGGAAATGCTCAGAAGAGACATTTTAAAGCTAAATCTCAGGGAGAAGGGAAGGTTCCTGTTTTACTGATATGTGACAACACTATAGTAAAAGTTGAAGAACCTTTTTTATATCAGGCATATAATGTTAGTCTTGTATTGTTTTAGAACCTTTTTTATATAATGCTAGACTTGTATTGTTTTAAAACTTTTTTTTATATCAGGCATATAATGCTAGACTCGTATTGTTTTGGAACCTTTTTTATATCAGGCATATAATGCTAGACTCGTATTGTTTTAGAACCTTTTTTATATCAGGCATATAATGCTAGACTCGTATTGTTTTAGAACCTTTTTTATATCAGGCATATAATGCTAGACTCGTATTGTTTTAGAACCTTTTTTATATCAGGCATATAATGCTAGACTCGTATTGTTTTAGAACCTTTTTTATATCAGGCATATAATGCTAGACTCGTATTGTTTTAGAACCTTTTTTATATCAGGCATATAATGCTAGACTCGTATTGTTTTAGAACCTTTTTTATATCAGGCATATAATGCTAGACTCGTATTGTTTTAGAACCTTTTTTATATCAGGCATATAATGCTAGACTCGTATTGTTTTAGAACCTTTTTTATATCAGGCATATAATGCTAGACTCGTATTGTTTTAGAACCTTTTTTATATCAGGCATATAATGCTAGACTCGTATTGTTTTAGAACCTTTTTTTATATCAGGCATATAATGCTAGACTCGTATTGTTTTAGAACCTTTTTTATATCAGGCATATAATGCTAGACTCGTATTGTTTTAGAACCTTTTTTATATCAGGCATATAATGCTAGACTCGTATTGTTTTAGAACCTTTTTTATATCAGGCATATAATGCTAGACTCGTATTGTTTTAGAACCTTTTTTATATCAGGCATATAATGCTAGACTCGTATTGTTTTAGAACCTTTTTTATATCAGGCATATAATGCTAGACTCGTATTGTTTTAGAACCTTTTTTATATCAGGCATATAATGCTAGGCTCGTATTGTTTTAGAACCTTTTTTATATCAGGCATATAATGCTAGGCTCGTATTGTTTTAGAACCTTTTTTATATCAGGCATATAATGCTAGGCTCGTATTGTTTTAGAACCTTTTTTATATCAGGCATATAATGCTAGACTCGTATTGTTTTAGAACCTTTTTTTATATCAGGCATATAATGCTAGACTCGTATTGTTTTAGAACCTTTTTTATATCAGGCATATAATGCTAGACTCGTATTGTTTTAGAACCTTTTTTATATCAGGCATATAATGCTAGACTCGTATTGTTTTAGAACCTTTTTTTATATCAGGCATATAATGCTAGGCTCGTATTGTTTTAGAACCTTTTTTATATCAGGCATATAATGCTAGGCTCGTATTGTTTTAGAACCTTTTTTATATCAGGCATATAATGCTAGACTCGTATTGTTTTAGAACCTTTTTTATATCAGGCATATAATGCTAGACTCGTATTGTTTTAGAACCTTTTTTATATCAGGCATATAATGCTAGACTCGTATTGTTTTAGAACCTTTTTTATATCAGGCATATAATGCTAGACTCGTATTGTTTTAGAACCTTTTTTATATCAGGCATATAATGCTAGACTCGTATTGTTTTAGAACCTTTTTTATATCAGGCATATAATGCTAGACTCGTATTGTTTTAGAACCTTTTTTATATCAGGCATATAATGCTAGACTCGTATTGTTTTAGAACCTTTTTTATATCAGGCATATAATGCTAAACTCGTATTGTTTTAGAACCTTTTTTATATCAGGCATATAATGCTAGACTCGTATTGTTTTAGAACCTTTTTTATATCAGGCATATAATGCTAGACTCGTATTGTTTTAGAACCTTTTTTATATCAGGCATATAATGCTAGACTCGTATTGTTTTAGAACCTTTTTTATATCAGGCCTATAATGCTAGACTCGTATTGTTTTAGAACCTTTTTTATATCAGGCATATAATGCTAGACTCGTAATGTTTTCAGCACTAGGTAGGTTATGTGGTCAGCATCATGCTGGTCACTTTTACTTTACACTCTAGAGGAGAGGGAGTCGCTGTGGCGGAGCGGCTAGACGCTTGCCGCGGATCGGAAGGTTGTGGGTTTGCTCCCTGGCGGAGCCAGATTTGTTCAAAAATGACCTTGGTCGACCCAGCCTTGACTGGGTACCGGGTGCAGTCCCTGGAAGTAAAGGCGGCCGGCATGATGCTGACCACATCATCCATGTTCTACTGATTGGTCTTTAAAAATATAGGTCTAGCCCTTTATGCCCTATACGCCTAAAGGCGTGGAAAAGAGTCCTTTACCTTTTTTTTTTTTTACTTACTAGAAAGGGAAATGCTGTTTTGAAACAAATAATGGTGAAACCTTCTGGAAGATAAAATATAACATTTTAGACAGAATACATTGTTATTCAGAATTAAAGAAAGTTGTTAATTAAGTAATAATGCACCTAGGCCTGTCAAAAGAAGCAGGTGCAGGCATTCAGGCACATCCCATGGCTTGGGTAGATAGTGGATACTGTCCGTAAATAAAGGCTGGTTGTTCCTTGAACCAATTAGTAATCACTGTCATATCATCTGTGTGAAATTGCCCTCTTGAATGAGCTAAACATACACAGGTTACATGGGACTGTATCAGCACTTCTCTTCTCTCCTATACTACAAAGACTAACGTGAGAAGATAATGTAAACCACTTAAGAAAAAACTAATGTGAGAAGATAATGTAAACCACTTAAGAAAAAACTAATGTGAGAAGATTATGTAAACCACTTAAGAAAAAACTAATGTGAGAAGATAATGTAATCCACTTTAAGAAAGACTAACATGAGAAGATAATGTAAACCACTTTAAGAAAGACTAACATGAGAAGATAATGTAAACCACTTTAAGAAGGACTAACGTGAGAAGATAATGAAAACCACTTTAAGAAAAACTAATGTGGGAAGATAATGTAATCCACTTTAAGAAGGACTAATGTGAGAAGGTAGTGTAAACCACTTTGAGAAAGACTAACGTGAGAAGATAATGTAAACCACTTTAAGAAGGACTAACGTGAGAAGATAATGTAAACCACTTTATAAAAGACTAACACGAGAAGGTAATTTATGCCATTTCAAGAAGAATTAATGAGAGCAGTGAATATGTATCTATTTAGAACTTGTAAACCCTGTCAAAAGACCGAACTTAGATGATGTTAAATGTCTGCTGCAACAGGCCTACTGTGGGTGGCCTAAATCTGACAGGGGACAGCCAAGT